AAAATGTTCCTTCTAGTCCCTGACCTTTGTAGAATCTCATTTGTCCATATGGCATGTGAGAGAAACCGGAGCGGCTCTTTTAGCAAGTAAATAGGCAAGGTGCTATTTTAATATGTGAATACTCTATGGTGAAGTGTAGGAGCTGCCTCTGCAGAAAAAAGCTGCAGATTCAGAAAATAGCCTCATTGAGATAGTGGCTTTCCCCTGTTGCACCCAAGCTATAGCAAAAGTATCTGGTCATATCAGTAGTTGACCACATTCGAGCAAAGTGCTTTTGTTTCAGCAGTTTTCCTGGAAGCACCATTTCCAGCGCCCATGAAGTTCAGTGAGCAAATTTCTGCATGCCAGCCTAACCTACTGGCCAGTGGTGTTAGCAGGTTTAACTGTGATTTTGAGCTCCTTTAGAGGGCAAGGCAGCATTCAAATGTGTTGGAAAGTGGCAAATGCTGGATTTCATCATTTGGAGGTGGCATTTAGAAAGCCATCCTCATCATTGCAGGACGAAAGGCAAACATTGCTATCACTGAAGATGTTTCTAGTCTCCATAGCAACTTCTCACTGCTTGTATATGTCTGCAGGCAAAGTGACCTTGAAGTTTGCTATGAGAGCTTTATCTTGCCCTGCCTGTGATGAACTCAGGGCAGCGTGTGTCATTCCTATCCCCGCTTATTCACACAGCAGCCTTGTGAGGTAGGTTAGCCTGCTTCAGATGATCTTGCCAGTCTTCATAAACCATGGACTAAGCACTCCTCCGTAGATGGGCTCTTCCTCCTCTTTCACACTGGCTTTAGCACTTCATTCCTGACTTGCATTGAGCCAAGGTTCATTGTTAACACCAGAGCCAGGGACTGGTGCTGCTCATCAGTTAACAAATCATGATGAGAAACGGAAGCCTATGCAGAGGGGAGGGGAGGCAGCTTGTCTGAACCAGGCCAGTAACTGGCCCAAGTTTACCCAGCAAGCTGTTTTGGCTGAGTGGGGATTTCAACTCTGCTCTCCCAAGTCTTCACTTTAGCTCTCAAGTGTAGGCTAGTTCATGCATATTCACGTTTTAATGAGTGCAACATTAAGGTAGTGATGTGTGTACCAATGAGCCATTGTGGAAGAAATTGCCAGATGTCAATCCAAGGCTAGGGTGTTTGCGTGGAGCCGATTCACAGCTGCAGCTTTTGAGTTATCCAGTGTTTGGATCAGAAATTAAGTGCTGAGAGGAATCTGACCTCTAAGGGCTTGCAGTGTGCAAATTCTCAATGTGTCATAGTTGCAAATACTTTGGTGAGAGGTTCAAGGCACAGATGGCTTGGTAATAACCAACAATGATTATTTAAAAATCTAGTTTTTTAGTGTCCAAAGTGCTTTATGTTATATACCTTCATAACCACCCTTATAATTACTTCTGAGAATGTAGTGATTGTAGAGAAGCACAGGCAAAACCTGGTGGAATTCCACCATGAATTGTGCTGTTTACCTTGACACCAGGACTCAAAATATCTGGCCTGTAGGATCCCAGTTCACCATCCTTGTGCTTCCAGGCCTGCTGTCCTCTGCATTATTCAATTCCCATGCCATGTATGCAGCAGCTACATGTACTACATAGTCCATGATGCAGCACAACTCAGAGTTCACAAGGGCATCTGGGGGCTAGCTAATGTTAAAAATGTGCACCAGAGTATAGAGGGGACTAGCAGAAGCCATGCAGATTCCTGTATGCTTTCTGCTCAAATTTAGCAAATGATTTCACCAAAATCGCATACCAAACTTTCTCCCCTAGTTCCATTTTGGGTAGAATTAGGCTGCAACCCTGGCTGTAATCCTAAATGAGCTGTGGCATGCTGAGAGTGGCAGGCTTGAATCTGGAAATGGAACCCTTCTGGATTTCTTACATTTGTAGTTTCCCTCTCATTGGGGATGGACTCTTGTTTTGAAAACCATAGAATTCTCTGTACTAGAGCAGAGATACTGTCACAACTGGAGATTTTATCCACGCGTCGTAGTGTCCTTTTGGTCTGGCAGTGGTTGCAGTGTGGGCCTCAAGTGTCTGGTAAATGCAGAGTATAAGAAAATTATATACATGACTGCTTTAAAATGTCTATAGGAGTTTTAGAACGTCAGAAACTCATCAGACACATTGATGACCACTTTTGCTTGAAATGTGAAGGTTTATATAGTCTCAAGCTCTGTCAGATTGCAGATTGGTTTCTGCAATTGGAAGCGAGTGGTGATTATTAGCGCCTGCCCCCTCTAGCACACTGACATGCTAATGGATGCTGCAGGGTTTCAACAAAGGGAGATTTTTCATAAGACAAATTCCAAAAAAGACTTAAAAGGACAGAAATGTTGTTCATAAAACAACTGTAACACAAAACACCAAAAATTGGAAATGCCTATAATTTGTGATACAATTGAATCAGCCACAAATGTGCTGTGTGCTCCACACTCCGCATTTTCTAATGCACATCTTACAGCCATTCCATTGAGGCCTTGAAAAGGGGGGTGTGGAGATGTGGAATTTAAAACTTAGCAAAGCTAAACTATTTGCTACACTGTTATGCATTGTTCTTTTATGCAAATATTTGCTGTAAAGTTTTATTTTTCACTTTATTTTGTAAATAACCTTTAAATGTGTAACATATGATAAAAGAGTTTATAAGGATTTTTTTTTTAATGAAGACTGTTTTGTTTTGCTCCTTTTAAAAACCCAGTTATATTGACAGTGTTGATTTTTTTTTTAAAGCACCTGCCTGCCTGCATGGTTTGTCCCTCTTCCCACCTTCACTGTGTTGTACAATGTCAGACATATATATATGGTCAAACGAAACAACTGAAGAAACCCAAACTCTGCTTTGAGGATCTCCTCAGAATTACAGTGATATACATATTGGAAATAAACTGGCTTATTCAGAGAATGTTTGCTCACTTTCTTTCTTTTTTCCAAAACAAAGAACCATAACCTGAAGGCCCTTTTTGGCCTGAGAGCCACATTCATTCATAAGCAACCTTATGAGGGCCACATGTCCCCAGTAAGTGGGGCTAGAGACAGAAAGCAGATGAAGAGACAGGTGTGACTTTCCTTTGGACTCTAGGCTGCATTCCAGCCGTGCAAAGAACAAGATGCATGTGTATCTACACAAACACGCCACCATCATCTAGGTATGCAAGATATACCAGCAAAAACACTCTAGGAAGGCTGCTGAGAAAAGCCTGTGGGGCTGCATTTAACCCACCAGAAGAAGAAGAAGAGTTTGGATTTGATATCCCGCTTTATCACTACCCAAAGGAGTCTCAAAGCGGCTAACATTCTCCTTTCCCTTCCTCCCCCACAACAAACACTCTGTGAGATGAGTGAGGCTGAGAGACTTCAGAGAAGTGTGACTAGCCCAAGGTCACCCAGCAGCATGTGGAGGAGTGGGGAAGCGAACCCAGTTCACCAGATTACAAGTCCACTGCTCTTAACCACTACACCACACTGGCTCTCACCTCCAGGGCCTGATTTTGTCCACCCCTGCTCTAGAATACACCGTATACTTCACTTGGCCTGCTACACAAGTACACAGAGACTGCATGGGGAGTGGGGAGAAGAGCTCTTTCTCACAGTCTGTTAATTTCACTGCAGCTTGTTCTGGATAAATTTAGGTGCCACCCTCTCTGGTCACATCACTCCTTCCTTCAGCAGTTCAACCCAGAGATAGAGAGGGCATATGCCGCCCACACACAAACAAACACTTTGCTTTTCTGAGTATTTTTGTAAAAAAGAATCGTATCCAGCAGAATTGACCCAAGACTTGAAAAGTACATAGAACGGAAAGAGCGTTTTTCCAATATCCTCCATCAGCTTTATGCTCTTTTCAAGGGAGAAAGGGGTAACAAACCTCATGACAGAAGGGGATGGGGGGGGGCTCAGGCTTTGAGCGCACCAGGAGAACATCTCAAGGGAGTCATTGTGCCAACAAGCGCCATGTTGGTGATCCCAGACCACCCTTGAGTACACACATTGCCCCACAAATACCAAACAGCACAACGGAATATCTGCTTTTTAAAGAATGGTTTTGAAACAAAGCTTTAAGAAAAGAAGTGTCATGGGGAGGGGGGGAGAGTATTTTATTAAATTCAGACACTCTGATAGGAAACAAAACAAAAAAGGGGAAAATTAAAAAAAGCAACCTTCATTTGGAATTTTTGACTAACAATGATCACATTGTTCACAGAAGAAAACATGGCATCCATAGAATTTATACATAGAACTCTACCTACAGATAGCAGCAAAAAGATTTACAAAAGTTACAGATTTTTTTTAGAACTGTTGCTTTCTTTTATAACCAGTTTTGGTGTGGTGTCATTTATAGCGTTGGTTTTTGTTTTCTTTAAAAAAATCAGTTCACAATAAAATCCATGCGAAGAGACACACAACATCATCATCAGTCCTCCCTACACAGTGCCTAAAGGTTTCGCTCTCTTTTTAATTTTTATTATTATTATATATATATATATTAAAAAACCCTTTCTTATTATTTTTTTTCTTTAAAAAAAATCTGAAAACAACAACCAGACGAAGTAAAGCGAGGCTTGTGGCATGCAGTGGTGATTGCTTTCCCCCCAAAACACACACACACACAGACACACTCACTCACTCACTCAATAATACATGCATAGTTTGGTGCTTTATAATTTACGCATTTGGAAAAAAAAGTTCAAAACCTTTTTCAAAAAATAAAAATTGTGGCACAATTGTTGCTCACACAGCAGTTGGATGATGCCATGACAGTGACACTCACACTCACTCACACACACTCCCAAGTGCAGCAACACACAATGAAAGGACAAATGTGCTTCAGACAAGGAAAATGGATGGAACTTAAAAGGGAATGGGTTCATGAAACCACTTCTCCCTAACATCGTCCCTTTTTTGTCCTATTTTTCATTGGTCTTTGATTTGTGACAGTGTGCCCATGTTGCAAGCCTAGGGCGATGCAAAACACTTTTTGCTGATAAGGCAGAAATGATTTCCCGCCGCCCCCTCCAAATATTCATTAAAGTGGGAAAGCATTCTCCTGCACAAGTCTTGCTTCAAATGAGCAGGATAGCACCTCTTCACTTTAATGGTGCTCTGTCTCTCACTGCTACTCTTATTAGGGACAAAAGGCTATCACTGCACCTTACCATGCGATAAGGCTAGCCCGTGCCCATGTATGCACCATTCCCTGCATATGGTAGTCTGCACATCACTATGCGCACAGGCATAGCAACATGCATCTTCCCTTGCTCAGAGTACAAAACAATGGGTTCTCCAAAGAGGTCCACATGGATCCTAGGGTTGTGTCCAACAAAGTCATCCTGTTAGTGGAAGTCCAGCGCGATTTCCTCTCCCTCTCTTCTCCCTGAATATCCCCTAAGCTCCTCCCCCAATCTGCTCCAGAGGGTCGGGGAAAACTCCAGAACAGATTTGTGGGGGGAGGCACTGGAAGAGGGGGAGAGGAAGCCCAATTGAACAATCAGTTGTTCTTGTGCTAGTGGAGTTAATGGGAACATTTGGTTTCCCCACACATTGCTAAACTCCAACTCCCATAGCCTGGGTTGATAGGAGATGGGGTTCAGTAACATTGGGGTGGGGGGAGAGAGAGAGATTCCCCACACCTGCGTTAACATGATAACTTTGCTGGATACAACCCCTTTGTGATCAAGTGCAGCCCCAACTGAGCTTTGGCAAGGCTGCATCATCAGATAATCCAAGACCTGGTAAGGCTAAAGAAGGTGAAAAGAGTGCATTCAGAATTACTGTAAAAGCTATTACCAGAAAAACAGCATTCTCTCTCCCTTTTCCACATCAACAGAGCAGGGATCTAACAAATGCTAACACTTAACATCAACTGGGCAGTTACAGCCTCTGTGCATCGTGGGCAAAATGTGTGTGAACATTCCCCACTTTTCTGTTCTCCTATAAATTGGGTATTCATTAACAAAGTTTGTATTTTTTTTCTACCCTTTAGTACTCACTCTCACGCAGCACTTAAGTATGTGTTGGGTAGGGATTTTGATTCATGCTAGGACCATGTGTGTAGACATAGCAGATGAGGGCTGTATTGGCTCCCCATCACTTTCAATCTGAGTCTGATTTTCCCTGTGTCCTGGTGATTATGTGCATTGACTAAAAACACAAAAAGGAATTCCCAGCAGCAAGATGTGCATGCACCGCCCAAAATAAATTACAGAAACTCTCCAGATTAAATCTGAAGAGAGGTGGAGCAGAAGGCAGGAGTGCAGAGAGCCCGTGGAGCAAGAACGGACTGAAATGAGGGGAAATCCTCTCATCCCTTAGTCACAGCAGCTGTGGTTAAGTGAGTGGAGAAAATGCTGAATTTCCTTCTCCTTTCAGTGCATGCTGAAGGGTTAACCGGGGTTTCTACATCCACATTATTGAGTGTGAGTAAATACGCCAGAGCCGGCAGATGATGACTCTTAATCCAGATTAACGGTGATCCTATGCTGTAAAGGCTCTCAACCCTAAAGTACCGTCTGTGCTCTAAAACCCTGTGCTTTAGATTTTGCAACTCTGCAGAACTAGCATTGCCTCCAATGCATCCCTGGTTGTGAAGTGTATCTCCAGTTTTGAACTAAAGTGATTGATCGTTTTTCTCCCAGTCCCTTGGATTCTGACCCCGTGTTCCTGTTCTGCAGGTGAAATGGCTGTTTACTTCCTCCCCTTCATATGCCGCTCTCCAGACATTTTGGACTACAACTCCCACCAGCCCCAGCCAGCATGGCTGTGTTGGAAGGTGCAGTCTGGCAAGAACGAGATTGAGGAAGTCTGCCTAAGAGGTGTTTGGCCACCTCAAGCTACTCCTTATTATGTGAGTGCATAGCTATTTGGAAATTGGTCTTACTCCAGAATCATGTCTGTGTGTGTGCCTTAAACAAGCATCCCTTCTCTTCTGAAGCCTCACAGAACAGACATTGTAAGGGCAATTCTACACACTTTTTTCTACCTCTTTAACTGCCATAGAGTCCCCCCCCCAAAAATCCTATAAAAGATAGTTTGCTGAGCTGCTAAGAATTCTGCATGAAAGATCCCTAACCTGTCTCACAGAACAGGGTTCCCTGGGGAGGGGAAAGGCCTTTAAACCCTTGAGGCAAACGCCAACATAACAATGCCAAGGCAACTCACACATTGCCAGAAAGGAGGAAATGAATTCACGCAAAAGGGGAGACGCATTTTCACAAAAATGTGCCTGTGTAGATATAAATTTAGAAACAGCTGTTATAATTTCAAATAGAAATGCAAAGCATCTCATCATGATGGGGAAGTCGGTGACCAGGTGGCCCGCTCTGTCTCTGCTCTTCTCTCCAGGCAGCGACTGAAGATGGGCAACTTTTAGGCGCCTGCTTGATCTCCCTTGCAAGGATTCTTTACCTTTAAACCCAACTTGGATGCAACTGCCCTGTAAGTAGAGGACTCCTCCCAACACTGTGTAGAGTAGACCACCCTACTGAGGTGGGGAAGCCAGTTATGAAGTGGACATGTCTTTAAAGCCCCTGGTCAGTGGCTCAAAACCCTGCCTCCCCTCCCCTGCTCTGTCAGGCCTTGGTCCCTGTGGGCTGCAAAACAAGAGAATTCTCATGAAGGAAGATGCAATGGGATAGTGGACACTGTCGGCTCCATTCGTGCCAGTGATGGACATAGAGAGGGAATATGAAAGTAACAGACAATCGGAAACAGACAATAGCAAGCCCCAGAGATGGAATGTTAGCTTTGCGGAAGGGTTTCTAAACTCTGAAAGACCCAGCCCAGCAGGGAACGACTCTGGTGTGAGCCCCATAGACAGGATTGGAGCTGCCCAAGAGCAAAACGCTCCCCTGTGGATCGTGGCCTCTGGCTCTATTTTGCACCATCATCATCACCCCAGCCACCTTTGATAGTTTCTAAAAGTACAAAGAGCTACATACATAATTTAATCAGGGGGAAAAACACACACCATTCTTCCTCCCCCCCTAAATATACTAGACACAACAAGGATTTTGTTTTCTTTTTTCCTCAGTATTTATATATATATATTTATATTACGTATATTATATATATATAATATGTAAATATATTTCTTAAAACAAATATATAAAATGTTAAGACACTTCACTTAAATGTAAAGAGGTTGCTTTTTTTCTTCCATGTTTGTTTGCTGCAATCCTAAGAAATTGCATTTATGGACTGTTGTTTGTTGCTGTTTGTTGTTACATATTTGATTTTTTTGACTTTTTTTAAAACTTTGTTATTCAAAAAAAGGCTCTCTTAAAATCTTTATACAAAAATGATTGATTTACAAAAAAGAAAAAGAAAAGAAGAAAAACCATAAAAAACCAATTCCCCGCAGCGTTCCCCCCCACCAAAATATTCTGAGAATAATAGAATTAAAAAGGACGAGCTAGTCAACAAAACAAGGAGTGATTACATCTTGTATTATGTTGCATACAGACTCATTTCTTTTCTTTTACTTTTTACAGTAGCACGCCATTTTGCTATACATGTAGAGGCACGTTTTCACATGTGCACCCATGCCACATTAATATATTTTTCCATTTTCCACCTGTGCTTAACGTTTTAGGCCAACCAACCTGCTCCAGCCTGCCGAGCTGTGGCTGTTTTGGACTACAACTCCCATCAGCACACACTGGCTGGTGCTGATGGGAGTTGTAGTGCAATACATCGGAGGGGCACCAAGCTGGTGAAGGCTGTTTCCTGTTCATTCAATGACTCTTGTGCAGGATGACCTTGCAAGGAACATCCCCCCACCCCGGACTGCCATTCCGAACACACACCTACGCATTGTACTTTTAGCTGAAGAAAGCCTCCATGGCTACAAACTCTCCCCGACTTTCTCGCTGGGCCCGACAGTGTTTCACGTTCTGCCTTTGCGACTCAGCTGTTGACATACGACATCCTTTCCTCCTCCCACATCCCCATGCCTCACTTGTATCTCCCTCCTTGTGCTGTCATCGTTATCCTTTTCCAACTCTGCACTGTGCTTTCCGCAGCTCAAATGCCACGCGCAACCTTTCAGGAAAAAAACAAAAGCTTCCACCTCTCGCAGATCGAGAATAAACACAGCTCTAATAACCCACCAAACCTTTCACCCAAAGCTGTTCCCCCCCCCCATCCAAGCCCAAGAGGAAGGTCCCCAGGGGTATAAACTTGAGCTTCATGGCCAATCACCCCATCAGCAGGACTAAGCCTTCTAAAAAAAACCCTCTGTGCCAGTCTTATTTGGGGGCACAATCCAAAGGGGAATTCTCCTGTGCAAACCCCACTGAAACAAAGGACTTTCCCAACAGTCCTTTGTTTCGCTCTACAGCCCTGATATCCTCTTCTCCTGGCCTGGAAGAAGCTCCACAGGCGGTTGGGTGTAATTTCTGCCCATGCCAGCCATCCTTGCTACGGAGTGCTTTTCTTTTTCCAGCAAGGCTCCATAGTCCATCCTAGGAGGACCCTTTGCAGGAACCGAGCAAAGGAGAGTCGCCTGTTCACCTGCCTCCACTGTCTTTTGCCCACCAAAACCTCGTGCTTAGAAAAGGGCCTAATTTCACCTCCTTCAGCCTTCTCCAAATTCTCCCCAAACTCTCCTTCACCGCCCAGTTTCTTTGATACCCTGACACCGTGGTCTCCCTGAAACCTGCCTCCTCTATTTGGTATTCCACACGTTTTGAGGGCTCTTTCCCCCCATCTCACATATATAGTAACTCAACGGACATTTAAAGTGCTACATTATGTTGATTAATTCCATAGGAAGCTGGACTTTTCTGTTTCCGGACCCTGTTCTCAACATCGTTCTGCTGCCTGCTTTGGCTCTGTGCCCCTTCTTATAACAGTCTCCTTTCCCCTTTCTTAACAGTACGTTGCTTCTGCATGGTTGAGAAGATTGAGGGGGCAGGGGGAGCATTTATTACAGGCTCAAAATTCAGTGCTTCACCCCCCCCAGTCTTTGCTTTTCTTCCAAATTTAATCCAATGGCTTGGAAGAAAGAAAGAAAAAAATACACAACACCACACACAGATATTTCGGTTTGCGATGCGCACGCACGCACACACAAGTTCCGCCCCACTTTCCAGAACAGTCTTTGATACAGCAAGTAAACAACAGAATCCCACAAAATGGAAGCATACACATGCCCCAAAGTCAAAACACCGTTGATTCATGAATGACTCAGCACACACCTACAAGGATCCACGTTAATCTATTAATTACAACTTTTTTTCTCTCTGTTCTTAAATGTAAGGAAAGTTGAATAGCAGCAAATGTCCATGGGGTTCTGAGGCATCTTCAGAAATTGGTTGCTCCCCTCCCCTTTTATAAGCCTCTGTAGTGATTCTGCCCCTTTCTCCCACCCCCTCATAAAGGAAAAGCGAAGACTGGCACTGAGCAGTGTCGTCGTTGCTTGCAGGCTGTGGCAACTGGCAAAAATATAAATAAAAATAATTCTTAATTGTTCTTTATACATGAACAACGCTAAGTTGTTGCCAGAGTAGAAAAGTTGAGTTTGGGATGGATGGGGAGTGGGGCAAAGGAAGGGGGTTGGGAGATCTGAGGGGAAACAGAAAACAGATGGGCAGCCATATTGTAGCAAGAGGGGAGGAAAAGAATAAATAGGTTGGGCAATTTGGGGGAAGAAGACAAGAGAGCAAACTAAATTGGCCATTCTGGATATTGGTAGGCGGCCCTGTGGGGAGCAAGAACCAAGTCCCAAGGCTGGCCATTTTGTAGGAGGAAATGAGAACCGCAGGGCGGCCATTTTTGAAGGACCATTTTAAAACGTCTGAGGGGAGGGACTTTTCTAGGTGCCTCAGTGAGACCTGGGGAGGAGGAAATCACAAAGAGAGACAGCAAGCACTCCCCAGTCCCCCAGTAGTAGTAGGTTAGGAAAACCACCAAAGGAGAAGTTGGCAGAGGAGCTTTTAGAATGAAATGGAGGAGTTCCGTGACCCAAAGGAAGTCAGTACTGGGATGGAGGTCCTGCTTGAAGTAGGCTTTTCTGAGACTGGGCTTGAAGTCTCATTCATCGTGTTAGGGTCCTTGGTTGATCTAGCGGCCTAGAAAGAAAAGCAAGATTCAGGGAAAAGAAGAAGGAGGAGGGAGGAGAAGGAAGGTGTGTTGGGGTTGGGGGGAGGGGGAGGGGGAGAACCAAACATTTTCTTCTCAAAGGATTGCGAGACAGAAAGAAAGTGCAAAAGAAAGTGAGATAGAGAGAAAGAGACAAGAGTGGGAACTAAGTTAGGAAAAATTTCTATCAGAAACAAGCAGCATTGGCCAGGCCTGAGGCAAAAGGTCCGTTGGACAAAAACAGAGCACGAGATGAGCTGGTTTCTACAGGTTTACTGGACGAAGGGAAGGAGTGATTGTGAGAGGAAGCGGAGGAGACAAAAGAAGGCCAAAAAAGAGACAGAGCAGGGAGATGGGACGAATACGTAGGCAGGCAACGGAAGGGGGAGATGGGGAAGGGGATGGGGAAGGGACAAGAATTGAAATGTTAGTTTGTGGCCATGGACACCATGTTAGAACGACAACAATATTCATTTAGCTGGGGTGAGGAAGGGAGGGTAGGGGCAGAGTGCAGTTTACCACAGAGGTGCTGTTTATCAGAGGTAGCCTCAAAACATCTGTTCGTTTTATTGTTCACCTATGGGTACTATTTTGTTGTACACTGCATCCGTAACTAGCAGGCCAGAATTTGGACTGGGATGGATAAAGGGAGGCAGCTTTCAATTTCAATGATAAATCTTGTTAAGTATGTATCCCTCATAGTTGACATGGGGGTGGGTTGGGGTGGCAGAAGGGAAGGAACAAATTGTGAAAGACATGTGAAAATAAAATACAGCCTAAAGCCAATCTGAGTGAGCGGGCTTTCTTCTCCTTGTGGTTATTTTAAGAAAAGGTTTTAGAAGTGGACAATTCTTGAATCCCAGAGTCCCGGCCTGAAGGAATGGCTCCATCATAACTGTTTTCCTCCACAAAGGAATACACATGAAAGTTGGAAAATCCTTGTGGGTTTTGCACAAAAGATTGGTGAGCAGGAACAGGCAGGAATCTAGTTGCCTGCCTGTTGCTCTTTGTGAATGAACCCAAGACCAATGAACTTTAAGGAAACTAATGCTTAAAGTCCAATGCAGCAGGAGGAACCCATAGCCCAACACCCATCCATTCTAGGGATGGATATATGACTAGAAGTAACCCTAAGAAATCCTCCATTCTCACAGATATAGGTAATCACAATTAATTGAAGCGGATATTACTCCAGCCTGCTTGTAAAAGACCTCCAAGAATGAAGGTTCCACAATCCCTCATGCATGCTCCTCCAAGCACATTCCACGGTGGAGGAAATTGTTTATAGCCGAACTAACCTCCCTTGTTGGTTCTAAAAATGCCGGTCATGCCAATTGTGTGCTCACCTCCCACTGGTTGCCATTTTGATGCAAAGGGGATCCAGAAGAAGAATCGCAAAGCACTGCATACTTTGTCAGAGGAAGTTCCCAACAGCTCGCCCCTGCCATCTCAAACCCAACTTCAGCTCTAGTTGCACGAGGCATGCGTGGTCCTTCAGCACCCTTGCATGCAGATGCAAAGCAAATGCGCAACCGGCTCATGAAAATATTATCGGGGAAGGCGTACCCTGAGAAATGTTCCATGGCTTACCACTTAAGCAAACAGCACCTCTGCTTTGTGGCAAAGGGGGCACAGACTGCGGTTAGTATCAGGATGCAGGGACTTCGGGGGAAGGGAGTTGTGCAGGAAGTAGGGTTTGCATTTTATTCATTTATTCAGTGACAGTCCCATTTTGCTCACAAAGCGTGCTTCAAAATAGACCGGAAAGCCACAGGGTGGGATGACATGCTCACAGCCAGACATCCACTCCCCCCACACTTGTGGAGAGGAGGGGATGGTCCTCTGTGTGTGCATATGTACCACAGAATGAGGAAAACCAAAGGGCCCTGCAGACAGGACATGGGAAAGGGTTCATGGTCTTTGCCATTCGTCATACAGATCTGGCATGACAAAAATAAAATAAAAAAGCCAGGAGCAGCAGGGAATTCTGGGAGATGGGCTAGCATATCAGATGCGCTCGGGAAGTGAAAGGGGAGGGAAGAATAACGAGTTTTGTGTGGAAGGGGGTCAAGTCAAGGCTTGAGAAACAAAGGGAAGGAGAGAGGAACAGGTAGAGATGTCGTTGTGGTTTAAGGGATGAAAAAGTGGCAGTTGTTACCTTGCTTTGTGGCCTCAGAAAGTTGGCCAGCCACTGGGCGCACTGTTATAGCGTCGACAAGAACACAGAAGTGTGTGAACCCAGCTGAACCGTACTGGCCTAACCATTAAGACCCCAACCAATGCAAATGCACATGGGGCATATCAGGGGGCAGGGGGTGGGGACAGGAAATGGTGAAAAGGGTTTCCACGGGGAACAAGGGACTGCCACTGCCCAATGCACACACCTGTATTTACTTATGTAAACTACAGATATAGTAAATGGCCAGTTACCTACAGCTGAGACACAGCAGGGCACAAGTTAAACATGTGCTGAGTCTGATAAAAACAACCTAGCCTCATGGCACTTTAGAGTAAGCGATTTATTGCAGCATAAGCTTTGGAAAACAAGAAGCATCTAGTGAACCAAAGCTTACGTCACAAGCAATTGGCAAGGCTGCAGTCCTGTACCTGGTTACCTGGAAGAGCGTCTTTTTTATATCAATGAGACGTGCTTCTGAGTAGACATCAACAGGACTGCCCTGCAAGGACTTTAAGGTACCATAAGACTCTGTTGTTGTTGCAAGACAGAGAGCTGTTTCACTGGAATGTGCCTCTGACAGATTTGAACATAAAGGTGCTTAACAGTGTGAAGGACTTTGAATAATAATAATAATAACAACATTAATACCAAGGAATTCTGATGACAGTTGCAAAGGCATAGATATCAAACAAGCGGTTTGATGCTCTACAAACAATACAAGCAGTTACATATAAAACAGTCCGTCTTTCAATGTTATTCCAACATTTTTTAAAAAAAATGATGCTTGTGGTAATAATCTTTTGAAAACCAGATTTTGAAGTCTGGTTGAAAAGTGGTGCATGCAGAAAAATGGGGGTTGGGAACCAACTTGCCCTTGTGCTTTACTTTTGAGTTTCTCTCCAGTGTGTTCACATTTCTCATGGTTTTAAAGGAATATAGCTTTTATAAACTTTTTAAAAAATTGTTTCTTGCTTCCCAAGTGTGTATGGAGTATATTGTAAGCCTAGAATCACCACTGATCCTTTGTTGAAGAGGCTCGCCGATCTTTCAGACAAGTCTAAACTTAATTCTCTCCTCTTAGGCAAAGATCATAAGGCAACCTGGCTGGTGGCCAGATTCTGCGCCCAGATTTGTAGGCACAGATCATCCTCTAGAATAAAATAGCTTACTAGGGAAGTGCTGAAGTCAATTTTTAATGGTAGCCCAAATCTCAGCTGTACGGGTGTACGTATATATCTCAATTTTAACTCATGAGCTATTGCTGCAACCTGCTTCAATTGTATATTTTATCTTTATGAACACTGTTTTTATTGCGTTATGTTATGTGAGATGGTCTTTGACCATAATAAAAATTATTTAAGCCTAGAATCACAGACTTTAGAGTTCAAAGGAACCATGATGTTCATCTTTAGCCCAATGTGGGGCTCGAACCCACAGCCCTCCTGAGATTAAAAGTCTCAGGCAACTTCAGCGCTCAGGAGTGCCTGCTTCTGGTTTCCGCTGGTTTGCCCGCTGTGGCCTTTCCTAAACAGCTTGGTTGCTGTGATCCATGCTCTGGCATGGGAGCCAACTCCTAGGGGCTGAGGTCCCTTTGCCCCCCCCAATAAAATATTTGAGGGGGCCAGCCCTCAACCAAAGTTGATGGGCATTGCCATTCAAATGGTGTGTGAGATATTGTTTTAATTATGCTCTACACTGATTTAGAATACTATGTAAAAAGTGGTATATAAATATTTTTAAAATAAATTAATGGTTATTGTTATGTCTCCACCCCCCTTAACTTCTTTGTTCATTTGGTTCACATAACGATTGCAAAAGCATATGTGGGTTCTGGTCCAATTCATCGGTTTGGGCAAGCAGTTACTCTGAAAAAATCCCAATACTTCTGTCAATATATATCTTATTTTAAAAATCCAGCAGTAATTTATATAAATTATACTTATGTTTTAAAAATGAGCATACATTTGACAGCACGTGGTGTTTATTGGGAGGAATTTATTATTATTTGCCAAGATAGCATCTTAATGTCACACTGAAAAACCTAATTTCTCAAAGTAATTGTTGTGCTTCTTTTGCAACTGCTCAAGCATTCCGCTCCTTAATCAACTTCCAGCCAATAAATCTTCCACAGAGCTGTTGAGACCAACCTGACCCTTCTTGTAACCAACTGTGCCAACTGGGTGTTTTTTTTTAATAAGGATGTCAAGATGGGTAAATAAAGCCTAATGGTGTTTGGCTTTGGCTTGCGAGTGGCTGGAGGGGGCCGCTTCCACTTTTCAAGAGGACTCCGTTAATAATATAGAGATGTGTCTTGTATCCTATTCTCTCAAGAATCCCGTATTCCTATCTGGAGCCTCTTATGAACTCCTACCATGAACGTGGAGGTACTGGACGTGAAAACAGCCCCATTCACTTCAATGGTGTGGGCAGCTTTGCATGTGCATGAAGCTCTCCTTTCCCTCCCCACAGCTGAAGCCAACAAGGCACGTGAGCCCCACATAAACATTAGAACTCTTATGTCTGCATAGCAGGATGCTTTGGGTTTCCATTCAAACATGGTCAAGCGATCCGATATACTTTTCTTCTTCTTTCCCCTCTCTTGTCTTTTCTCTGCTAAATATGCAACACTTCTCTGTGTGTGCCATGGGCAGGAAAGGAGTTGGGGCATACACACATGGACATGTTGTGAAATGCTGGGTGGGGGGTGTGTGAACATGGATTCAATCACATCTCACAACCGATACCACTGCCTTTCCTGGCAGGGAAGTGGGCCTCTGACAATTTGTTGGGTTGCGCCTTCACAAGTAGGCATTTTCCTTCTTCTTTTCAAAACACTGCCATATTGATAGCACAGCACAGGAAATAAAAACTACTTGCCCACCCCAAACAAAGCAAAGCAGGTACTTAGCCTTACACAGACATAACTGGGCAGGGGAATTCTTAACCAAATCAAGGGGGTGGGTTCCAGTTGGTGCTATCTGGAATTCAGGAGATTCTTGAGGAAGTAACAAAAACATGGAACTTTAGCGACAGAGGACTTAGGTTTAGGTTTGAGGGAGATGGGAGTCCTATCTGGACCTCACAACATACAATTTTTGCCGGGTTTGGCTCCAGCTTCTGACGTATGCCTGTGGAAAGTAGTTCCCCATCTCTCTCTACATTCACTGCCATGTCACAAGTAGGTGCATCTTCTGACAGAAATTCCCAGCCGTAATTTCTAAAATCGCTTCCAACGGGCATTAGGAATTTGTGTTCAAGTTTGTGCAAATATACCTGCCCCTGACCCCGGATCAACAATCCTTTGCCAACTCACCACTCACCTCCAGCACTCACCTCCACTCAAAGGCAAAAACAAAGGGATCCTAACTCAACCTGCCTCCACCCCAGTGTGCTCCCATAACAGAGTGGTGTGGCTGCCTACAGATAGACTACCTGTTGTTGTCCCTGGATGCGCATGTACTCCATGCGTTGCTTTATGTGCTTGCTCTTGTCGGGGCTGCCTTGCTGGGTTTGCTTCAGCCGTGACGCAGGATTGACCATCTTCATGGCAGGGATCGAGACGCCACCGCCGCTCTGGAGGAAGAATAGAGGAAAGGATGACTTTGGAGAGATGCTAAGGTGCAAGGCATACGTTGGCAACAGGTTAAGGGCTTGCCACTGGCTCTGCTACCGCTGCCAAACGCATCTCCCTTCACTCCCATTGGCTGAGCTGCCATGCTGTCATGGAACGTTCACAAACATTCAACCGCTTAGGAAAAACCTATCTTCAGGAGAATTTTGACACATAGTGCTGCTTCTATGGAGGAGATGAAAGGGCCGTTTACCTCTTGCCAGGGTTCTCTTGCTATCTAGCCTGCTCAATGTGTATTTTACACATGTCTCCAAGCTCTGCTACAAACCACAAAAACTTTTGAAGGCAAGCAAAATATCCTCGCACTGAATATAAGGTAAAGGTAAAGGACCCCTGAATGGTTAAGTCCAGTCAAAGGCGACTATGGGGTCATGTAGCAAGCATGACTAAACTGCTACTGGCGCACGAAGGACCGTGACGAGTGCAAGAGTGCACGGAAATGCCATTTACCTTCCCGCCGGAGTGGTACCTATTTATCTACTTGAATTGGCATGCTTTCGAACTGCTAGGTTGGCAGGAGCTGGGACAGAGCAATGGGAGCTCACCCCATCGCGGGGATTCAAACCACTGACCTTCTGATCAGCAAGCTCAAGAGGCTCTGTGGTATAAACCACAGCGCCACCTGTGTCCCAATATATATATCATAGCTACGGAGCTCCTTTCCCGACAGAAAAAGAATTATTTGTTGCTGCTATAGACCTACAAAATTACAGAACAACAGTCTTACACGATCACAATCAAAGCACAATAGAAATTGGGGGTTAATTACCCATTTGATCTTCTTGCCCCCCTTTTCTTTGCTAGCCTGGAAATTCATTAGAGGTTCAGGGAGCAGAAAGCACTGGATGAAGGGTTAGAGAAGGGTCTAAACCAGAGAGCTGAATAGCCAAAAGTAAAGGAAGAATGGGAAAGGGTTTTATTTTTAGCATACTGATTTCTCCACACATTTGGCCTGACCCAGCACATGCAATCCATATAGGGAAGTTGGTCCCAACCCACAGACCAGCTGTGCTTAATAATAAAATCAGTTAACCACACCTCACCCCCACGTTAGAGGCCTGAACCAACTAGTTGTAAATATATACCAAAAACCATTTAAAGGGCAATAGAGTCCATGACAAACAATTTAAAGCAATACCAATATCAGACAAAGCTTTAGTAAAGGATTCCAAGTTCAAGTCTGGAAGCAAGTGGAATGGCTTTCCCTCATCCACCCCCAAATCCTGAAATTAGCTAACTTGGAATCTCAATGCCAACTCAATATATGCTGCTTGAAGGAGCGCCCAGATGAGCCCTCTTCAGTTATGTACAACATTTCGAAAAGTCTTGCTGCACCATTCAGACATAGGGATGCAAGAGGGCATTGTTTTTAATTCCACCCTGCAAAAGTCGCAAGCAGCAGTGCTTCTGTTCTACTGCCTTTCATCTTCCATAGCAAACTATGCTATTCACCTTGCTGTCTGCTGTGGTGATATTATGTAGCTTACATACTTTAATTGTATCTATTACGTTGCAATTACAGTGGTGCCCCGCAAGACGAATGCCTCGCAAGACGGAAAACCTGCTAGACGAAAGGGTTTTCCGTCGCGGAGGCGCTTCGCAAGACGAAGTTCCCTATGGGCTTGCTTCGCAAGACGAAAACGTCTTGCGAGTCTCGCCATTTCCCCCCCGCTTCCCCCCCCTTTTTCAAAGCGGCTAAGCTGTTAATAGCCTTTTAACAGCTTAGCCGCTAAGCCCACTAAGCCGCTAATAGCGCTAAATCGCTAATAGCGCTAATCCGTTTAGCCGCCAATGGGGTTGCTTCGCAAGACGAAAAAACCGCTAGAAGAAAAGAATCGCGGAACGGATTCTTTTCGTCTTGCGAGGCACCACTGTACGTTATTCTACCCCATGCATTTCAATGCAAAATAAACGCAATGTAAAGGGGGCGGGACAGGGATATGATTAATTACATATCATTTGCAGACTGAAAGCAACAACAGCAACAGCAAATACTGATCGCATTTGCCAGATTGATTTTCATTCTGGACAGGGGGTAAACAAGCGAACATTGACCATTTCTGCTCCTGTTTTGCTGGGATGCACTGACATCCCGAATGAGACATGGGTTCCTGCCTTCATCAGTACCACCACATGTCCTGGGAAGACAGGGCCAGCCCTGCATAATGGGTAATACAAACAAGGGCACCCCCCAACTATTTTGGGATTTTGCAGAAGCTATTCAATCACATATCTGAGCTTTAGGCTTGCAGATTTAAAGTGGATTAAAGCACTCTGTTGCCCTAGCACAACTAATCCACTTAAAAAAGATGAAGAAAACAGACTTTATTGCACGTTAGAAAGTGATGGAGAAACTTCACATTGTGAAGTGCGGGATGGAGTGATGGAGAAACTTCACATTGTGAAGTGCGGGATGAAAGTGATGGAGAAACTTCACATTGTGAAGTGCGGGATGAACAAATGGTTAACAGGAAAATGTGTAAGCATCCCACTAAGTGAATCAGGATGAATGCAGGATGAACGCTGGTTGTCGTACCCTACAAACAAAGCAGAAGTAATGCGCAATAAAGTCTGGCTGTACTCTGAGCCCCGCTATATGTCCTTTTTATTGTACATTCATGATGATTTGTGCTCATTATGGCATCAGGACAGTTAGACGTGGTCCCATCTTCAATACTGTTTGCACCTGCAAAAGTTTGAGGGCAGTTACCTGGCAGCAGACTTTTGTACATCCAGTTGCGCAAAGCCCTGTTAACACATGCAAATTTTACATTTTCTGGATTTGGCCAACAGCTTCCGAAGCTGCCTTGTATTCCTCCAGATGTTGCTGAATTACAACTCCCATCATTCCTGTCTGTTGGCCAGGCTGATTGGAGCAATAATAATAATAATAATAATAATAATAATTATTTATTTATTTATTTATTTATTTATTTATTTATTTATTTATACCCCGCCCCAGGGGTATATACTCTGGGCGGCTTCCAACAAGGCAATAAAATACAATAACCTATTAAACATTAAAAGCTTCCCTAAACAGGGCTGCCTTTAGATGTCTTCTAAAAGTTTGGTATTTATTTTTCTCTTTGACATCTGGTGGGAGGGCATTCCACAGGGCGGGTGCCACTACCGAGAAGGCCCTCTGCCTGGTTCCCTGTAACTTGGCATCTCATAGCGAGGGAACCGCCAGAAGGCCCTTGGAGCTGGATCTCAGTGTCCGGGTAGAATGATGGAGGTGGAGACGCTCCTTCAGGTATACTATTCAGCTATTCAGAAATATCTGGAGGGATGCGGGCTGACCATCCCTGTTCTAAAGGCAATGATTTGAAAGTATTCTGGGCACGATATAGTCAAATTTAAGCTTTTTAAAGTCACTAATACTGGAAGGAGAGACCTAAGCATCATGCAGGCTGTCTCTCCCGTTGCATTAACTGGATTAGAAGCGTTTAACTTCAGCTGGCTTGTGCTCTTGATTTGTGATTATTAGTCCCAAGGCTCTTGGTTATCTTGAATTTTAATTGTTCACAAGTACCAATCGATCTTCATTATTACAATCATGGACCTGCCACTAAATTACAATCAAAGAAACGCAAAATTACAGTTTCCAGGCCACTGGAATTAACAGCATGGCAAAGGGCTAGGATATGTGAGTGCATTGATGCACATTCGTACTTAACACTAGAGTGAATTGTTGAAGGCTATTTGGTTAGTAAGGCACTTTAATCATCCGGTTCCTAGTAGTACATGCTGCTGCACAGAATCTTGCCGCTTTGATGGCGATCTCCATGATTCTTAATCCAACCCCTAATTAGATTTCAAACAAACAGATTCTGCTGAAAGCAGAGGATGTTCTATGCAAGCCTACTTCTTTTTTGTTATATTGAGAGATATATTCCGATGTCTTACGCTTGTCCTCTTTGCGTCTGTTCTTCACTCACTCTTGCTGTGAACATCATCTCATCAGGTCCTTGTTGCCATCATCTCTTTACCAAGATTTGTCTGCTTCTTCCCTCTTGCATTCAGTACAAACTGCTTCTTCTCATATTGTTCCCCTCTGCTTTTCTTCTTCCGAACTGTCTTTAATTCCTTGTTCTCTCTTCTTGGTGGTGGTTGTTTCACCACTCAAGCCACTTATCTCTGTCTCTGGCATTTAGGTCACCTTTTCCTTTTCCTTCCTCTTACTGCTGGAATTCTTCGCCTCTTTAATAACATACATCGTGTTGCTAGGCTTTCATGAGACCTTTCCCTCCTGAATTTTGGTAATTGTCTTTACACCTGGCAATTGATTAAAGGGCCCATCTACATTACATGGCACTTGTCAAAGTATCTGTATCTTTTTCGATTCATTTCTTTTCCCTCCCCCTATTCCTTCTGTAACTTGTGTTAACAGATTGGCCGAGTATTTTCTTTTTAAGAAGGTACATCACCTGGCACAACAATAGACTATCATGATTATTTAGCCAGCCTCAATCCCGAAGATCCTGAGCAGACTTTTTGTTCAATCAAATATTTCCTCTCTTTTTTCAGTTATCACCTCTTGGCCTTCTGCTACTCTAATCCCCATGCCTGGATCAATATCTTCTTCCTCTGATCATCTAGGCATACCCCTAGCCACCTACAAACTCCTCAAGACTTGCGCCTTTTCCTGATTTCCCCCCCCCCGATCCCTATAGTCTCACTTTGCCTGCACCTCCAGTACTGCCAGACTTTGCTCTGCTAATCATGGGTTGTTGCTTATTAAAGTACACAGCCTCTCTCCTCTGCCACTCTGTGCATCACAGCCCTTCACACAGCTCAACAAGCCCCCCTTTTTTTCATCACAAGGGGAATGGGACTGCAAACATCTTATGGCCAAACTTTCCCCCTCTAAGCAGTTCAGATGTTCATGCGCAGTCCATGACGTCACAGAATGTCAACTAATAGCTGAAGAGAGGACAGTCAC